TGAGCCAAAGACTCACTATCTTTTGGCTTGGGAATATGATGGAATTTAGCAAAATGGCTCACTAAACTGTCTGCACTTCTTTTTTATGAAGTAACAGTCAGTCTGCAATTTTCGACGCGATTTTCACTATGGGTCATTTGGAAACAGTCTCTTTGTGCTTCAGTACAGGGGTAAGATTGCATACATCCGACCCCCCCTTACCCCCACCGTAGGTGGAAGCCTTTCGCGGCACTGGGGTGATGATAGAGAGCAGGGAGAGCAGGGGGCTGTGTGGAAGAGAAGGGTCCGAGACCCAAGGGCTGTCGGTTTACTCCAGGCGGTTTAAGTTATTATAATTGATAATAACTCTTCATATTTTTAATAGAATTAGAGTTTTATTAATCTAGCCTCTCTAAAGCTATAATTGTCCAAAAAGGTTGAATCCCCAACCCCAAGGCACCCCTAGCCTCTCTAGTTCTAGTATTCTAGCCTCTCTAAAGCTATAATTGTCTATAAATAGACCAAACTAGACTTAACCCTCGTTTCACGAAATTGAGATTCTCAATAGTTTTCTAAGAGTTAGAAATCTCTCCCTCAGTCCACATGGTTAAAATCCCTCCATAATCCCTTTGTAATACAAGTTTAGATCTAAATCCATGTGCTTAAGACTATATCATTTCTCATTTTTATTAATATATGGTAATACGGGTTATTACTGAGACAATGTTACGCAATGAGTAATTCAATTGCTGAATCCTCAAAGAATTTTCTGCATTTATATTTAACTAACTAATGTGAGATAACAACACGACTATTCTAATGTTAAGATATTGTGTGAGGAGTCTGATGACCTGTTTTTCTCCAGGCACATCCATGGCTAACAGACTCAGAAAAAGAGCAACTATGCAGGCTGATGAACTGCCAGAAGCTCTCATTGGAGGCCAGCACGCATGCTGCACAGAACGAGAGACTGCCGCTCCGCGTTATAGTCCAAGTTCTGTTCTTTGAACAGCTTCGCCTGCGTACGTCTGTGTCTGGCTGGTTCTTCGTCACAGAAAACCTTGAGAATTCGCAGGATCTAAGCAGAAACATAGGACCGAGGATTGAGAGTGGGACTCATGAAATCTCGGTAAACAACCCGATTGTCACCGTTGATGAAATGAGAACTCGTGTGTCCTCACTGGAGAAGGAATGCTTGGGCATGAGACAAGATATTCAGAAGCTGGTGAAGAACAAAGGGAGCTGGAACAGTATATTTAAAATGCTTGGTTTGAGGCTGAAGACGACAACAAGGTCTGGCAGTGATCATCATCATCCTAAGACTGTGAAGACGCCTTTGAGTGCCAAAATGTTTAGGAATTCTAGAAAGGCGGGTTCAAATGGAAAGCAAATAAAGGATAGTAATGTTGACGGTGATAAGACTATACAGTCTCAATCTTGAGAAGGAATTATAGAGTAATAGTATATTGTAGTAATTATTATGGAGTATTCTGTTTTGGCTTACCTGGTCCCTCTCTCCATCGCGGTAAATGACCAGAAATAGAAAGTCGGGTTCTCACAACTTAACCAGTTTTATGCATTAGAGATGTTGGGACTGTAAACTGTTTTGCATTCATAGAGAGATTCACTAATATAGTTACCTTCACACTTATCATATTCAAGATTTCAAGGTAACTATTTCAATTCAGGACTCAGTTGACACTCCCATGACCCAGTGTTTTCATCATTAGCTCATGAGATCAAATTGCCATTCCATCACCTCATTTATTCTGTCCAATTTGTTCTGCCAGTGTCACTGTGTGAAGGAAGATAAGAGATTTAAGCTCTACATTTTGGAAAATAGCACTCCATAATTTCTATTTACATGTTTTATATATGAAAATGAAATGATGACATGTTTTATATATGAAAATGTGAAAATAAACTTGCATGAATCCTAAAAGAAGAGTAAAACTACTAGTACAGATTTTTTCTGGACTGAATGAGTTTGTTGGGTGTCGATTTCTTTCCGGCTCAGGTCTCCAACCCTTTTGCTATACTCTCACACACCACCTTAGGCTAGACCACAACACAACTCCAAGCTTCTTCTCTACCACTAAGGTATTCTCTCACACTCTCACACAAAGGAAATGGAGAAGAAGAATGGCACTGCTCTCTCAATACTCACGCAGGCTGCTCTCTCAAGGTAGAAGAAGAGTTACATAAATAATAGGCTTGCCAACAAGAGGACACTCACGGGTGATGCAAAGACAAGGAAAGACTGCAGCAGACAACTCAAGATGGGGTCACTCCACATAAGGCAATAGCCATATTATTGGTTAGGAAAGATTCAAACGAGAAGTGCCAAAGTGGGAGTAAACATGGGGTGCAAGTCAATAATAAAGTGGAAGGGAAGCCTTGGTAGGACCAATACCTCCAACATTCTCCACCTTATTGGTCCTAGGTGGTGTAGAGTAGCAATACAAAGTTGTGAGGAGACTCATCATCGCCGGATTATTACAAGTATATCATTGCGATCATACAAGTAATAGATGAGAACCAAAGTTCCCTTTCGGACCAAGCTTACCATGGAAACCCACTTCACGATGGACTGAACTCTACCAATCGGTCCTCGAGTTCAGAACCAAAACCATCACAAAACTATTAACAAGCACGACACATGTTAATAGACCACGCAAGCAAGCATCCGGGAGAAGTTGGGGATTCCAACTAATCCAACAACCACACAAAGAAAGTACACAGAAAATAAAAGAAACAATATTATTTCTATAACAAGCACAGGTAGAGCTCACATAATCACTTGGTATCTCATTTTCAAAACACAAAGAAAATAGCATACCAAATATCACAAAGATTTTAATTAAAAGAGAATTAAGCACATTTAAAGCAGACTCAGAGGAAATATAGTCAAACACATTGCACATATTATTTCTCACATGCTTCCTAATGTCTCTATCTCTAGTAACATGGCAATCACGCAACTCAAGCATATTGCACACAACATTCATATCATGCTCCACCTTAATAGAAATATTATTTTCTTTATTTTCACCATGAAAAACATTTTCATTCACAAATTTGGGTTTAGTTTCAACAAGTAAATCGGAATGAACTTCAACAGGCAAATGCTCCACCTCATTTGGAGCAACATCAGGAAAAACAAACTGGTAAGGAAATTAATTTTTTAAGGACCACTGTCAGTTTTGATTTCTGTGATGATCAGCTTAGAGATTTATGTGATACTTGGGGTATTTCTATGCATAAATCTGTTCCCTCCACACCCCAACCGGATGGGGTTGCTGAGAGGATGGTTAGAACGTTATTAGAGAGGGTGAGGGCTATGTTAGCTTCATCTGGGCTCTCTAATAAGTTCTGGGGGGAAGCTATTTGTTATGCTGTTGATTTGATTAATCTGTCCCCGTCTGTTCCCTTAGGAAGGAAATGCCCTGAATCTGTGTTCATGGGCAAACCACTTGACTTGCCAAATTTGAGAGTGTTTGGTTGTGCTGCTTATGTGAATCGTGTGAATGATAAATCTGAACCTAGGACTAAGGAATATGTTTTCTTAGGATATCATGATTGCATGAAAGGTTATAGGCTTTGGTGTAGGAGTGAAACTTGCTTCAATGTGTTGATGAGTAGAAATGTCATTTTTGTTGAAAATGAATTTTCTTGCCTGCTTGTTTCTCCTGATGTTGCTCCAAATGAGGTGGAGCATTTGCCTGTTGAAGTTCATTCCGATTTACTTGTTGAAACTAAACCCAAATTTGTGAATGAAAATGTTTTTCATGGTGAAAATAAAGAAAATAATATTTCTATTAAGGTGGAGCATGATATGAATGTTGTGTGCAATATGCTTGAGTTGCGTGATTGCCATGTTACTAGAGATAGAGACATTAGGAAGCATGTGAGAAATAATATGTGCAATGTGTTTGACTATATTTCCTCTGAGTCTGCTTTAAATGTGCTTAATTCTCTTTTAATTAAAATCTTTGTGATATTTGGTGTGTGAGAGTATAGCAAAAGGGTTGGAGACCTGAGCCGGAAAGAAATCGACACCCAACAGAGTTCTATTTAAAAACAACAAGGTTAGTTATATTTAACTAAATGACTTTTCTTTAGTCCCATGATGACCAAGAACTGCAAGCTTGTCGGATGAATTGGTCACATAAAATCTACAAACATAATAAATGTTTAATATTGGATAATATTAAACATTTAGTTATATTTAACTAAATGACTTTTCTTTAGTCCCATGATGACCAAGAACTGCAAGCTTGTCGGATGAATTGGTCACATAAAATCTACAAACATAATAAATGTTTAATATTGGATAATATTATACGGTTTTGTGTTTCCTTTATATTTCATATTCCCTCTTTATCCCTTAAAATTTCTTCAACTTTGACTTACACCTCAAATAAGAGTAAAAATTGTACAAGTCATATCTTTGTAGAGAAGAGACAAACTACATTAAACAATAGGGAAAATAAGTATGTCATATGTTAGTGGCATCATCAAGATATGTAAAATCATGAACAATTTACAAACCATTTAAGATGGGAAAACTCTTTGTGGGGGATGTCTGTCTAAAACTTGGTTTCCTCTGGACGAAGGAAAGGAGGAGAAAGAAATACGGATCCTTATGAAGTGGGACGACATGAGATATAAATGAAAGAAAGATGAGGATCGTGCTGATAACGTGTTGTGGACCACGTAAAAACGACGTTTTCATTAACATGGATACATATACAAAAAGGGGTTAGAATTACACTAATGAGGTGAGTTAGTACATGTGAATTTGGGGGTAAATAGACATACACATAATAATTACGAAGTATTTGTTATTAATTTTTCACAAAGGTCTTAACCTACTTCCTGTTTGTTAAGAGTTTCTGGTTCGATCTGGGAACCGACTCACAAACGGGTCTGTCCGAGGCTCAGTTATGCCACCGGGTTGTTAACATCCCGGTGCAAGATAGTGAACATAGCACCAGTATGTTAACTTGCGCACTTCCAAATTTCCACTGAACAAAACCCAATTCTCGAAACACCCCATTTGGGCATGGCTTCTCCTTCTCCGGTCTCTGCTGTGTGCGTCCAAGGCTCCCCTGATGCTCGTAAAGGTTCTACTGATTAACTGTTATCTGAACTACTTTTATCGTTTTGTTTTCGCGGGAAGGACTTCAATGCGGTTTCGTTTCCATATCTAGGGTTTTAGTTTCGTGTTGCTGCCTCCTTATTCAATCCTGCGTTTATGACTCACCTAGATTTTTAACTGTATTTGGTTATGATTCTGTATCCTGGTCGACGATGAAGAATGTGGAAATAGCCCAATGGCTCAAGGGGCTACCACTGGCGCCCGAATTTCGCCCCACAGATACTGAATTTTCTGATCCTATTGCCTACATTTCTAAAATCGAGAAAGAAGCGAGCTCTTTTGGTATATGTAAAGTGATTCCTCCGTTCTCTAAGCCTTCTAAGAAATATGTGCTCCATAACTTGAATAAGTCGCTCACAAAGTGTCCAGAGTTGGGTTTAGATGTAAAGGCTTGTTCTGATAAAGGGAATGGACAATTTGGGGAGTCTAGGGCAGTGTTTACTACCAGATGTCAGGAATTGGGCCAGAGTGAGAAGAAGAAGATGAATATGAAGGGGATGTCAGGGAGTCTGTCATTTGGAGCTCAGAAGAAGGTTTGGCAAAGTGGAGAAGTTTATACACTGGAAAAGTTTGAAGCAAAATCAAAGTCTTTTGCTAGGAAACAATTAGGCACAGTTAAAGACGTTTCACCATTAGTTGTTGAGACAATGTTTTGGAAGGCAGTTTCTCAGAAGTCAGTTTATGTGGAGTATGCTAATGACGTGCCAGGTTCAGGTTTTGGCGAGCCTGAAGGAGTTTCCAATATTTACAGGAAAAAGAGGAGGAGGAAGAAGAGGGAAGTGTTTGATCGAAGCCACACAAAAACTTGTGATAACAAGAAAGAAGGTCTTCTTGATAGTACTAGTATCGATAAACAGTCATTTTGTGTTAGTCCTGATATATGTAAAGTCTCACCGTCTGATTACTCCGCATCTTCCCAACCTAATGGTTTGCGTGATAGTAATGATGTGGAGGGCAGTGCTGGATGGAAACTATCAAACAGTCCATGGAATTTACAAGTCATAGCTAGGTCACCTGGATCACTAACCCGCTACATGTCGGATGATATTCCCGGTGTTACGTCTCCTATGGTCTACATTGGTATGTTGTTCAGCTGGTTTGCATGGCATGTTGAAGATCACGAGCTTCACAGCTTGAATTTCCTTCACACGGGATCCCCAAAAACTTGGTATGCAGTGCCGGGTGACTATGCATCAAAGTTTGAAGAAGTTGTGCGAGTTCAGGCTTATGGAGACAGTACTGATCCATTAGGTATGTGAATGGTTGCTGTTGAAGTGTAAAACATTTAGCAACTTCATAGATTCAGAATATTTCAATGACAGTTTTTAGGATTCCTGAGATTGGAAGAATATCTTTTTTATTTAACATCTCATCATAGTTCATAAATTTAAATCCATGAATACCACACTTGCAATGCTGGTACATAGTAGTCTTAGATGTTAGCACTCACCAAACCACATGCTTCATGATTCTGGACCCTCTTAATAATCTTCATTTCTTTGGGAACAAAACTCCTATTTTATATTTATATAACAAGATGGGAAGTTGATGTCCTTTAATATTGAGAGTCCGTGCTTCGAATTATACTTGCATTTGTCATTTGCATAAGATTTCTTGATATAGCTATGTAGATAGTGGTAACATGACATCCCTGAACATTTCAACTATTTATCAGGGTAAGTTTACAAAGTTGATTTTCTTAGGCCGACACTTCATGTGTAAAGCTGTAGTATTGGTGACAAAATTCTCACTGGAAACATGTTTTCATCAGTTTAAGTTGTAGTGTTGATTTTATTAGGCCGCAACACGGCATGTTTTCATCAGTTTGCTTGGTAATCTGCAGCTGCTCTTACTCTATTGGGTGAGAAGACTACTCTTCTATCACCTGAAGTAATTGTTTCATCAGGCATACCCTGTTGCAGGTGGGCCGCTATTATCTACCACTATTTCCTTATGTGGTTACACTTTAAACTTATCTTGCTGATGGACAATTTGATGTTCTTGGAGATGGATTTTGTGGCTCCAGCTGTATAATTTTTCATCCCCTTGTTTGTCATTGTTTCACTATCTACAATAACCTTTTTTATATAGGTTAGTGCAGTACCCTGGCGAGTTTGTGGTCACTTTTCCAAGAGCATACCATGTAGGGTTCAGTCATGGTAATTGCTTTTACTTTGTTTACATATTGGATTATTTCTTTTTTTCTTCAAATCATCATCTTTTCTTCCCATTTTACATCTTTAAACTAAGTATTCTAGATCATGGATATGCCAAATCCATTTGCAATGTCAACTTTTCTCCAAACCCCATGTAGGATTGTAGTTTAACTGAAGCTGATATACTTTTAACTGTGGTTAGCTACTATCGACAGGCTCTTGATCTTAAAGAGCTTGTGGATTTAGTTTCCTATTAACAGGTGTTTTTAGGCCATGAATGATGTTTATTGAGTTTTTAAACCATTATGTTGTTATTTCAAATGTGCTGATCCTAACCCTCTGTCTCTATACGAACCATTCAGTGATTTACATCATTTGGTCAATAACAACAACACTGCTTTTGAGATAATAATCATGTGTCATTGAAATGCATACAAATATTTAGTGATGTTATGTCAATTTATTTACTCTTAATCATTGAATTCATTTTTTTATTTCTCTGAAATCAGAACAGACAAAATTGTTTTAACCATTCCGTTCACATTTTTTTTCGCATTACTTGCATCAAGTTTTGTGTTAACCACTAATAGTTGTTTTGTCATACTTCACTTTCTCTTTTCAGGTTTCAATTGTGGAGAGGCTGCTAACTTTGGAACTCCTCAGTGGCTCACAGTAGCTAAAGATGCTGCAGTTCGTCGAGCAGCCATGAATTATCTTCCCATGCTTTCTCATCAGCAGTTGCTATACCTGTTGACCATGTCTTTTGTTTCAAGGTCAGCCTGTAAGCTTTCATTTCACGTTTAAGGATACACTTCTCAAAAACAAAATGAAGATTAGAAATTCATAAATAATTACGAATGTTGCAGTTTCTTCTAGATGGTGAAGTTCGGATAATTTTTTCTTTAAATTTCTTCTACTTGAAATCCTAGTGCCTCTCTAGTTTTATCTATTTGGTTTTCGCCAAGGCAATATCACTCTCATACACCGTACCGTCCGTACCCATCAATATGGGCTATGTTCTAGCTGTGTAGCATATCTTGATATCAATGGGTCCAATTGGTATTAAGCCTCTGATACTTGCATTCTCAACAGTTGTGAAGTTGATCTTTGTGCCACTTTTATAATGTTTTCATAGAACTGAGAATATAAATATGGATAAACCTGTTTTGTGGAGTTACTCACTCAACAAAGGAAGGGAACCCTGATCTATTTAGTTTGATACATATTAGGTTCTTTTTAGCCTTTGATTGTTGAGTGTTCTTCAAACATTGGACAACAGAGTGCCAAAGTCATTGCTACCTGGGATGCGAAACTCTCGCTTGAAAGATCGTCAGAAGGAAGAAAGAGAGACTTTGGTGAAGAAAGCATTTGTGGGAGATGTCCTAAAGGAGAATGAGTTAGTAACCATTTTACTACAGAAAAATTCCTCTTACCAAGCAGTGTTGTGGGATGTGGATATGTTGCCATCTGCAAGTGAACGATTTGAATCGCAAAAGTGTGTCGGTACTGATTTAACAAAGAAGTGTAGTGATCAAAATGATAACAAGTACAACAGCCAGGATATTTTAAACAAAATGAACTCATATTTGGAAAATTCGAGTGATTTATGTGCGGAAGATGAGGATTTATCAAATGAATTTCAAATTGATACTGGAGCGTTGCCTTGTATAGCTTGTGGGATACTGGGTTTTCCTTTTATGGCTGTTGTACAACCATCAGAGAAATCAATAAAGAACTTCTACTCAGAGGATTTTCATACAATACAATGCATGGGAGAGCTGAAATCTTTTGAACCGCGTTCCCATTCGCAACGGGATAGCATAGTATTTGGCGATGTTGCAGGTATATCCATTAATACTGCCCTTATATTTTTTTGAATTATTTTCATTGATGATAAAATAGTTGCTGCCTTGCTGCCCTTATAGGCATTTCCCATTTTAAGATGATAAAAAATAGATAAAAATCATTTAATGGTACCTACCTGTTGCATCCGTGCACTGACAAGCTTGTTTTGCTACTTGGTTTCTGGAAGAGACTTCCAGCTAAGAATATACATCCATCCTTTCTCTAAGGAGATAGTGGATATCCAAGAAATGCCAAGTTTCAGGAATTTCTCTTTTTCAGATTCTCAATCTGACCTAATATAACCCCCCAACCTGTAATTGCAAGTTCCCACCCGCAGGGTCCTGGTTACATTTTCTAGCTCTGAGGTTGTCTTAGCTGTAGCTCATGAAATGGGACACCTTACTTCAATCTTTGTCTAAGAGGCCAATTGTGGTGGCCACTCCTTCTAGTGAAGGGCGGTACTCTGAAAGCTATTTGGACCTGCCTACTGTATCTGCCTTTTCTACATTGCTTATAGTTGAAGTTGAGACATTCAATTACATATTAATCTGTCCATCTTATAAGGAATTTTGAATTAATTTGCTGATTTGCTCATTGTCCACTTGATATATACTACGTATTTAACACTGACATTGCTTCACCTTGCTCATTTTTCCATTTGTGTGCAGTAGACAGGTCAATGCCACCTGAAAGGCTTCTCCTTCACCCTAAACGAGTGTCTTGTGCTGAATCAGGAGAATCTACTGCATCTCAAATGAAGGGTCAACTCCCATTAGCTGGCCCTTTATCTGCAAGTAATCCATCTGTCAACCTTGAAGACAAATGGGATACATATAATGCATTTTTAAGGCCACAAATACTTTGCATTGAACACGCGATTCAAACTGAAGAGTTGTTGCATAGAAGGGGCGGGGCAAAAATTCTTGTTATGTGCCATTCAGGTGAGAATAACAAACTGTTGGATCTCTAAATTCGATCCGAAACAGGGAAGAAATTTAATAACTCTTTGTCCTAAAAACAGGGTTATAAGGTACAACTTTTTACTTTTTACAAGTTTTTACAAGTTATGAATTGTACCCAAGAAAATTATTTCCAAAACTGGAGCAATTGACCATAGCAGCTTGCTACTTCGCTTAAGAAGAATTTTAATTTAAAACTAAACTTGGCTTTCAAAATCAAACTCTTTTTTCTGAAGGACGGAGTACATAACTGTTTGACAAGATGTCTGTGACTATTTATTCGTGCAGACTTTCAGAAAATAAGGGCTTATGCTACATTTATCGCAGAGGAAACAGACACCACATTTGTCTATAATGAGATTGTCTTAGATAATGCATCTAAGGAACATCTTCAGTTGATAGATCTTGCAATTGAAGATGGAAACCGTGAATGTGCTGAAGACTGGACATCAACACTACATATCAATTTACTGCATTCTATGAAGAAGTTGAGTAAAAACAACAGTCAAACAGCTAAGAAGTTAGAGTATGCGCTGATTTTGAGTAGGCTATTCCCCAACACAACAACCTCCAGTACGAAGTGTTTGGGTTACAAATGGGAATCCAGAAAAGTACGCTCTAAGAGAAGATCAAATTCCAAACCAGCAAATAAAACACGTGTGCCTTCAAGATTTGAGGAGAAATGTTTGGAATCAAAATTAGACAACACTCGAGCATCCAGAGAAGAAACAATAGCTGTCCAGTATACTAGGAAAAGATACAAGTTAAAACCACACGCTTCTGTAGAAAGTGATATTTTCATTCCTCATGAGATCTCCAATGCTAATGAAAAACTGGAGAATCTCATTCCTCAGATGCTGGCAATGGAGGACCAAAGCAGAAATTCACACAGAAATGATTCACCCGATGTTACCAGTTTTGTGAAAAGCCCATGTGAAGGCCTAAGGCCAAGGGCAGCCAAGAAAGAGACATCAACGTGTGCAAGTGATAATAATACTAAGAATAATTTCCAGGATCAAAGGAATGGAGGACCCTCACACAGGTGTTACATTGAAAGGTGCAAAATGAGTTTCAAGACAAAGAGAAAGCTGTCCCTTCACAAACGTAACCGGTGTCCAGTCAATGGTTGCGGGAAGAAGTTTAACTGTCACAGATATGCCGTACGTCATCAACGCGTCCATGAAGAAGATAGGCCCCTGAAATGTTCATGGAAAGGTTGCAGCATGTCTTTTAAGTGGAGTTGGGCAAGGACTGAACATTTGCGTGTTCACACTGGGGAACGACCTTACAAATGCAAGTTTGAAGGATGTGGCCTCTCTTTCAGGTTTGTGTCAGATTTTAGCAGGCATAGGCGTAAAATGGGACATCATAGCAGCTGATTAATCCACTACGTCAAAAGAATGGTTTTGTCTCAATAGGTTGGTTTGCTATAAGTTTGCTACCCTCCATTTCCAAAGAAAGGGTGGGTTGCCTTATTGTGAAACCTCTGTAGGTTTTGATATGTACCAGACTGATTATAGTTTGATTTCTTTAGGATGGTTCATCTTTGTAAGAAGATTGATCGTATTCCTACTTGGGTACTATTGTCTTCTGTTGTGACGTGAAAAAATAGTAGCTCAGTGGAAGTAGATGATGTAATATTAGCAGATCAGTTTGTCCATTTTTAGTGTGTTAACAGTAGATCAGTTATCAGTAGATGGGCAACTGGGCAAGATAGCCATTTTTTTACAATAATAGGGCATTAAACAAGAATAATACACAGCCGGTTCCAGAGGATACCTATTTTCTTGCATTATAAATAACACACACACGCGCGCGCACATATATAAATATGCTACTATATAATAGAATTCGTAGAAGACCATGCGAGGACCCAGGGACAAATTTTAGTAAAATGAAATACCCTGGAAGCAGTCTTGATCATGCGAGGATAATTCCAAGGCTAGAATAGTACTTGAGCTAGGAGATGGAAAAATCACCCATAGGAGCGGTCTAGAGCATCACTCAGTGTTAAGAACATCCCATAGACCCATAGAGGGCATAGATCAAAGAAGTAGGCTCCTAGAGAAATAGGAGTCTCTGGGCAATGTGCTAATAGATGAGAGACCGAGTTGGCTTCCCTGTAGCAGTGGCGAAAGGAGAGTCGGTCGTTTGGGTGTTCACAAGAATTTTTTAGATGATCGATTTGAGTCTGTCCGGTCACTTGTGGTTTGGTGGAGGATAAGAGGGAAATCACAGGTAGGGAGTCAGATTCAACTATGAAACTGAAGTATCCAGCTTGAGTGGCCGCCCATTGAGCCGTGATGGGTAGCTTTGAGTCGGCTTCTAAAAGACTAAAACGGAGAAAGCATTGAAGGAGAAACAACTCTAAATTGGCCTTCTGAGTTGCACATTTGCTTCACCGGATGATTTGGCAGGTAAGCGTGACGCGTCCACTTTGAGTTTGATGCAATTTCTCGGCCTTTCCCATTTAACTGAGATTAATCTATGTGTGATGGACATGGTCTTGGGGATAAGATTTTCCTTAAAAAGAAGCTCAGTAGGTCTAGAGCTCTTGGAGATAATAAGACCAGATGACCAATTAATAAAATAAGCTTTGATTTACAAAATGTGATTCTGTGGCAAAAAGGGGGACCGAGCAGTTGTCCACTTGTCCCAAGTCCCAACTACTCCCAAGTGAAGGCCGCATAAAATTTCCAAGTGTGCCAAATTATGACCCTTAGGAGAACGTGCTTGAAGATGTCCTCCATGTTGGTTGAGCCTGCTGCAGACCACCAGGATAAACAGGCCTCCCCTATAGGAATGAGGAAGATACCCATGAAATAGTCATAAACTGGTTTGACCAGGGAGTATTGGAAAATAGACGATGTGGTGGCAAAGGCTTGAAGGCAGAAGGGGCATCTTTAAGGCATTGAGTTTACATGAAGTTTGCACCATGGATAGCCGCCGGAGGAACTCCCAATCATTGTCCTCGCCTTCTGATATTCCTGAGGTTCAGCCTCTTTTCCCGTACCTCTTTTCTTCTTTCCTTTTGTGGAGAGGTCGAGCAGCCAGGAGATGGAGATCTGGATGGCACTGTGACTTATGGAAGGCCACTCCTTTGGCTGCCCATTCTCCAAATGAAGGCCGAAGCCCCGATGAATCGAGCCTACTCCTTCGACGAATATGGGATGACAACGCGGCTTCCCATTGCCTATCTAGTTGCACCCCACATTGCCTCTCCAGGTGCTCCACCGACGTTCAGTTTGACGTGTTCGAGGAGCTGGGTGATTTGGGAATTAATTTGAGCCTCCATGGAAGAATTGTAGGTCTAGGAACGAGGAAGAAGGTCTTTGACTATGAGGGAAAGAAAGAAAGACTCACTATGACTATGATCTGTTATATTCCCATCATTTCAATTAGAGTCAAATTAAAGACTCACTATTTTTGGATTTGTGAATATGATAAAAAAATCAAAATGACTCGCTAAATCACCTATGTTTTTTGTTATGAAGCATTTGTCACTCCATGCAATTCTCGACGTGATTTTTATCATGGATCATCCGAAAATAGTTTCCATGTGCTTTATTATAAAGGTAAGATTGGGTATACATATGATCCCTTCTAACCCCATCGTAGGTAGGAACTAGGCATGGCAATGGGGCGGGGCGGGTACTGCAAGACCCAGACCCGCCCCGTGACCTGCACGGGTCCAAACTTGTTGACCCATGACCCGCCCCGCCGTAACCTAATTAGCTAGTATGTATTTTTATTTGTGGGAAGTTGTTACCAATTGAATTTACATAAAGTTTATCTCTAAATAATAATTAAAAATAAATATATTAAATCAAATTCACGATACGCTAAAAATTTCAAAAATTAAGGAAAAATTACTCAGACTTGAATAATTAATCTAATTAATTATATTCATCGTTGAATATATGTATTAAAATGCTATATATAAAGAAGACATTGATAATCTGTCGTTCATCTCATTCTAATATATATTAACATATTATAAAATCAAAGCATTTATGATTTATTGTATACACACATATGTGTGTTGAGGTGTATTTGTAGTGTAATTTAAGGAAAAGTATGTATACTTATATATTGAGCGGGTCGGGGCGGCACGGGTCAATTTTAATACCCGGACCCGCCCCATTGTATAGGCGGGGCGGGGCGGACCTGCCCTATTTGCAAGACGGGGCGGGGCAGACCCGCCCCAAATGTCTCGGGCCAGGGCGGGTCATTGTGGGTCGGGTTTTTCTTACATCCCTAGTAGGAACCTTTGTGACAACGGGATAATGTTGTTGTTAACCATGTTTTGTTATAAAATAAGCTTGAATATAGTATTCCCTTAGTAATATTTTATCTATTGTATTATCTTTTTTGGATTGTTGTCACATTTTTTTTTGAAAAGAAACATGTGGTGTACAACATTTCACTTTATTATACTCAAATTTTAATTACAACTTTTACTTTTTCAACAACTTTATTAATAATTGAGACAAATCCAAGTAGGACCCATAGGGGTGTTTGGATCTGATTCTCAAAACTGATTCTGCTTCTTCAGGGAGCAGAAGCAGAAGCTGGAGTGTTTGGGTGAAATTCCAGAAACACTTCTGGTGCTCTAATTTACTCTCAGAATCAGTTTTTTAGAAGCTGGGGGGTACCAGCTTCTGAAAACTGATTCTGATTCTGCTTCTACTTTAAAAAAGAAGAACAAGCAGAATCAGTTCCAAACACCCCAATAAAAGGAGAAGAATGTAGTACTCCATCCGTCCCATTTAAAGGCTCTCGTCCACTATTCTCTGGTCAAAGTGAATTGTTCTTAATCTTTTACTTTATATATCCAACTTTTATCAATTTTAGGGCCTGTTTACTAACAGAGATATTTTCCTGTTTTCTACTTCTGTTTTTCTATCTCCAATTTTCTGTTTTTATTTTTCAGTTTTTCTATCTCCAATTTTCTATTTCTATTTTTTAGTTTTCCATTTTCAAATCTGAAAACATGTTCATCCATTTTTTCACCCAGTTCTCCAATTCCACACCCTTGACCCCTACCCTTACCACGATCTTACACTCTACCCATACTCCCCCACAACCCTTCATACCCACCCATACCTACTCGTAGGGGTCGGGGTAGGGAAGTTATGGGTGGGGGTGGGGTAAGGGGTATGGTCGGGGTGGGGGTGGTAAGGTCTAGGGGTAGGGGCTTGGGTGGGGTAGGGGGTGAGGGTAGTTGGTGGGTTAGGGTCGTGGTTAGGGGTAAGGGTGGGGTAGTGGGTAGGGTTTGAGGTAAGGTAGAGGTAGGGTATGGAGTTGGGATAGGATGGCGGTAGGGTGGGGCCGGGACCAGGGTGGGGCTGAGGTAGGGAAGGGGTAGGGGGTAGGATGGCAGTAAGGGTGGGGGTAGTGGGTAGGGTTGGGGTAAGGTAGGGGTAGTGGGATAGGATGGCGATAGGGTGGGGTCGGGATCTGGGTGGGGCCGAGATAGGGGAAGGGTAGGGGTGAGGGGTAGGATGGTGGTCGGATGGCGGAAGGGTGGGGGTAGGATGGCGGTGGGGTGGGGCCGAGGTAGGGGCATGTGGTAATGGGTAAGGGGTAATATGCAGGTGGGTCGGGGTGGGGTCGAGGTGGTAGGGGGGTGGCAGTAGGGTGGTCTAGGGATTTAGGTGGGGCCGAGGTAGGAGAAGGGTAGGGGGTAGGATGGTGGTAGGATGGCAGAAGGGTGGGGGTAGGATGGTGGTACGAGGGTGGGGGTAGGATGGCGGTGGGGTGGGGCCGAGGTAGGGACATGTGGTAAGGGGTAAGGGGTAATATACGGGTTGGGGGTAGGTTAGGGTGGGTAAGGGTGGGGTCGAGGTGGTAGGGGGTGGCGGTAGGGTAGGGTGGATCGGGGTGGGCCGGGGTGGGTAGGGTCATTATAGGGAAAAATGGGTGTGCGGGTTGGGGTTGGGTGGGTAAGGTAGGGTAGGGTAGGGGGTAAGGGCCTAAGGGGTAAGGTACGATGATGGAGGTACCGGAATGGAATCGACATCGGAGCGGGACCGGACCCACCACTAGGTGTAAGTATGCAAATTCATTGAAGCGGCACTGTAGCATCTGCGTTTTCCAAATTTGGAAAACTAGTAAAAGTCACTTCTCCAAATCATTAAGGAAAAGAGAGACATGTCTCATTTTTTCCGTTTTGGAAAACGATTTGGTAAACGCGTTTTTCTTTTTTCCTTTCTCCAGTTTTCCAGGAATTTCTTTGGTAAACACGTTTCCTGTTTTCTGTTTTCCAGTTTTCCAGTTTTCTGGAAAACTGGAAAATATCTCTGTTAGTAAACAGGCCCTTAATTTTTCTTGATTGGATTTTATAAAACTTTTAATGTAGTTTCTAAATATGTAAATTTTATTTATTAAAAATAATCTTATTAACGATAAGAATCGATTAACTTTATGGGCAGTCAATCATCGCAAATCGTGTGAAAACTTTTGAGTGGGAGTAATATTTCAAAAAAAACTCACATAAATGATCTAAATGAATAAAGGGAGAAATGACCATGTAGCCTAAAAAAAGGTACATTAAGTTAGTAACCCCTCCTATTTTTAATAAAATGTGGATACAGCACGATTGTATGAAAATGTGAGAGTTAAATAAATATATATGTAGAGTACAAT